AGCTGATGCCATTTGACAGCTCCTTTTATAGCCGGCTGTCAAACGGCATCAGCCAATGGGAGCGATCGGCGCTCCCGCTAGAACGGCGGACCAGAGTGGGGACTTCTGTCAGTTCTGTGAATACAACACTCCTTTCTTCTGGCCAGGAGCATGCGTAGTCCTGCAAATAGGCCAGCCGCCTGCGCAGGTGGCTGGATCATCTTAGTTCAGGAGGATCTCCTGATGGAACAGAATCCTTCACCCCCTGAGTCGTGCTGGAGGCTGCTGGAGTGTGAGTTCGACCCTCAGGTGCCTTTGTCCGAGCGTCCGTTGGCGGTCCAGGTAGGGTCCATCGTCCGGCTTGCTTCGGGAATGGCCTTCGGTGCGGCGGGTAGACTGGGTCGTTTGGCTGGGGACCCTCGGCGTTTGCTGGGTAGACCGGTTCGCTCAGCTGGGCACCCTTGGCGTTCGCTGGGTAGACCGGTTCGCTTGGCTGGGAACCTTCGGTGTGTGCTGGGTAAACCGGGACGTTTGGCTGGAAACAGGGATCATCGGCCGTCCTCCAACGCCTCCTCAGCTGGTCTACGTGTCGGTGCCACATTCGACCGTCGTCCAGGAGGATCCTATAGGACTTAGGTCCTGTAACTGAATCAACTTGTCCTGGTACCCATAGTGGGTCCCCTGCATAATTCCTGGCATAGACCAGGTCATGCAGGGCGAATTCCCTGGCCTGGCTGTCAGAACCCAGAGGGGTGCCAGGGGTGTAATCGGGGTGCAACCTGTCCAGGGTGGTTCTAAGGTGCCTGCCCATTACTAACTCTGCTGGTGATTTGTTAGTCGTGGTACAGGGGGTTGTATGCTGGGTCAGAAGGTATCTGGACAGTTTGGAGTGCCAATCAATTTGGCCAAACCTTGCCAAGGCCTCCTTTACTGACCTAACTGCCCTTTCAGCCATCCCGTTGCTTGCAGGGTGAAATGGGGCCGTGAGGATGTGCCTGATGCCCAGATTGGCTGCAAAAACTTCATAAGAGGTGAACTGGGGGCCATTGTCGGATACCAGGGTGTCAGGGATGACAAACACTCTGGTCAGGGCTCTCATGACAGCCAGCGTGGTTGTGGAAGGAAGCAGAGCCAGGTCAATCCATTTGGAGAAAGAGTCCACTATGACTAGGAAAGTCCGCCCGTGCACAGGGCCTGCCAGGTCAATGTGAAGCTGGGACCAAGGGGCCCCAGCATCCTCCCACCGGGTAGGAGTGGCTGCTGGTGGTGCTGGTCTGGTTGCTTGGCATGGCTGGCACGTGCTTACCCAGCTGGAGATCTGGGCATCCATGCCTGGCCACCACACGTAGCTGTGGGCCAGAGCCTTCATCCTCACGATGCCTGGGTGGCCTTCGTACAGGACCTTTAAGATTGGCTCTTGTAGTTTAGCAGGGATGACCACCCTTGTCCCCCACAGCAAACAACCCTGTAGGGATGACAACTCTTGCCTGCTAATCTTGAATGGCAAGAACTCACTGGTGTACTGAATTGCAGGCCACCCCCTTCCCACCCAGTCCAGGACTTGGGCGATTACCTTGTCCCTTCTGGAGTGAGTGGCAATGTCCTCAGCTGTGATAGGCAGATTGCGTTCGTTGACCTCAAAAATGGCGTGGATGGGTGCGGGGTCTTCGACTGGCACTGGTAGAGGGCAACGACTGAGGGCATCTGCATGGCACAGGTTCTTCCCCGGGCGATGCACCAGCTTGTATGAATAGGTGGCCAGGAACAGAGTCCACCTGGTCATCCTTGGGGATAGGACCTGTGGGGTTTGCTTATCCCCTGACAAAAGGCCTAAAAGTGGCTTATGATCTGTTATAAGTTCAAAGTAGTGACCATAAAGGAATTCGTGAAACTTCTTGACAGTAGCAACGGCAGCCAAGGCCTCTTTATCAATTTGGCTATAGTTTCGTTCTGCTGCAGAGAAGGTTCTTGAGAAGAAGGCAATTGGTGCCTCAGAGCCATTGGGGAGCCTGTGGCTCAGGACAGCCCCTAAACCAAAGGGGGATGCGTCTGCAGCCAGGACTAAGGGCCCCTGCTGATTGAATTGAATTAAAACTGCATTAGATGTGAGCAAGGACTTGACGGATTTGAAAGCATGGGCTTCCCTTGGTCCCCAATGCCAGGGGGATTGTTTATCTAAAAGTCTGTGCAGAGGTTCTGCTATGGATGCTTTATGTGGAAGGAATGCAGCATAGAAATTTAGAAGCCCTAAGAAGGCTTGGAGCTCAGTCTTGTTGGTAGGTGTGGGTGCCTCGTGGATAGCCCTGACTTTGGACTCAATTGGGTGAATACCAGAGGCATCAATTCTGTAGCCTAGAAAGTCAACTTGCTTAGTGGCGATGGTGCACTTGTCCCTTTTAAGTTTAAGGCCATGCTGCCTAAAACGGTCTAGGACTGCTCTGACTCTATGAATTAGTTGTGTTTTATCCCTAGCTGAAACCAAAATGTCGTCAAAATAGGGGACTATGCCTGGGAGTCCTTGGAGAAGCCTCTCCATAAGGGATTGAAAAATCCCAGGGGCTACACTTATGCCAAACTGGAGACGCTTGCACTTAAACGCACCCCTATGGGTGACTAGGGTTTGTAATTCTGCAGTTTGGTCATCTACAGGGAACTGTTGGTAGGCCTGGGACATATCTAACTTTGAAAAAATAGTCCCAGGCTCGAAGGTGTGTAAGAGATGTTGGATGACAGGGTAGGCGCTGATTTGTAGGAATCTATTGAGGGAAGTCTTGTAGTCAGCGCAGATTCTCACGCCGCCATCTTTCTTAAGTGGGGTGACTATGGGGGTCTCCCATCTTGCAAAATCTACTGGTTCTAATACCCCTTGCTTTAGTAATTTATCTAGCTCTAAATCTAATTTGGGAAGGATAGCAAAAGGTACCCTACGTGGTTTAAGGCAGATGGGAGTTGCCTGTGGGTCTACATTGAATGAAATAGGGGTACCAGAGTAACACCCTAAATCTTCGCTAAATACATCAGAATAGTCTCTGAATAGGGTGTCTACTTCAGAGGTTGAAACAGCGTGGATACCAGTTATGCTGAGGCCAAGAGCAGGGAACCAGTCTAGTCCTAGCAAGGTAGGGAGGGCACCATCTACCACCACTAAGGGCAAGTGGCCTTTGAAGTTTTGGAATTGGACTAAAAACTTGCCTTTCCTGAGGACAGGGATGGTCTTGCCCTGGTAATCACGCAGAGTCAGGTGGCAGCTCAGGAGCTTCTTCTTGGACATTCTAGGATGCATCTTCTTTAGCGTTGCCCAGGAGATGATAGAAAGTGCAGATCCTGTGTCCACCTCCATCCTGCAAGGCTTACCTTCTAAAAAGACAAAGATACTTATTTTGTTAGAGCCTGTTGTAATATTGTAGGTTCTCCTGCTTGGGGGGTGGGGTGTTGGACTAGCTGACCTACAAGGTCCTTTCCAACTCTGTTAATCTGAAAAACTATCATGAAAGATAAATAAAGCATTTGAGCACTTTTTACTGGGGAACGTAAGTGTTAGGTTGCTTAGGAATTATAATCCCTATGGTAATATGAGCTTCCACCTGATTATTTCACCTCAATTCATTGTGACACTTAATTATAGAGTTAGTTCACCTCACAAGAAATGGTGCATGATCTGAAAATGGAGGACAGGCTGTTGGCAATTATAATTGGTGGCAGATATTAGGTCCATCAGGCAAAAGCTGTCCTCCAGACATGATATCATGATGAATAAACTATTTGAGCATATTTTACTGGGCAACGTAAGGGTTAGGTTTTGTAGTTTCAACTACAAAAAGCCGTAGATGGGTCCAATGTTGCTTAGGTATTTTAATCCCTATGGCAACCATGAGCTTCCCCACCTCAATTTATATTGAGCCTAACACAATGTTCACCTCAGAAGAAATGGTGCATGAGGTGGAAATGGAGGACATTGTCATCAGATTTTTTGTCTTTTTTTTGCTGGTGTTACCTGACCACTGAAACTCAGCCCCATAAAAGCAATTTAAAATATTTTAGTGAATCTTTGTCACATAAATGCAATAGGTATCTGATTAAACTTGTTGAATAAAAAAGCCATTTCCCTATTTTGCTGGTTGGTTTCAATATTGTGGGAGGAAGGAGCAGATAGAATCTTCCATCACTGAGAAGATCCTGTTTCTGTGATGTGGTTAGCCGGTAGCAGGTGTGGACAGAGGAAGAGAGTGAGGACTCAGATGAGGGGCCAGGACCATTAGGGAGTGGACTGCTGCCTTCAGAGATTGTGAGGCCTGGCAGCAGTGATGAGGAGGTTCCTGAGGAGCCTGTGCCAAGTGCGCATGCGCACAGGATTGCTCATAGGAGAGAGCAGTTACAACAGCACGGGCGACTCGGGAGTAAGGCTGCAAGGTAATGGCCCCTCCATCAAGAGGATAAAAGCCAGGTGTGAAGAAGCGTTCTTTGCAGAAGGCAAAGACGCTCTGAAACTCAGCCTTATGGACATTATAGTTAGTATTTGAAAACTCGTGTAAACTATTTCTTATCTGTGGGTTTTTGGCAGCCTTGAAAAACAATTTGGCAAGGCTCTTTCTTGTCTGAGCTAATTAGTTGGAAGCAGCCTTTTATCTGTGACAAAACAGAATTTGTAAATGAAACCTTAAAAAGTGGAGGCTGCTGCCTTTGTCTTGTGTTTGCTGTCTTGGAACCAGGTTAGGTCAGAACACTCTGGTGCCTATAACAGAAGTTCATGTACATGAACAATTATGCCATCTTGGAAGGTTTTGATGTCCATCATATATGACAGAGGTAGGCAATCACTGCACCTGTGGTCACCACAGCACGTATGTCTCCCTGTGTCCATGTGGATCCCAAAATAAATAAATATGTTGTAATGAAAAAATAACATGTCCAGAATTTTACAAAAATGGCAACATGTCACAAGATTTTGGTATTCCAACCTGAAATTCAGAGAGATGTTTGGCAAGAACGGGACCTGTTTTTTAACACAAAGGTAATCAGGAATCATTTATCATTATCTGCTTATGCCCTCAGGAATTATTTTCTCCAATGGCCTCACCTGGAAACAGCAGCGACGCATTGGTGTCACTTCTCTGCGGAAACTCGGCCTGGGGAAGAAAAGCATTGAGCATCAAATAGAAGACGCAGCTCAGGTGTTGGTGGAGATCTTTAGACAAACAAAAGGTATGTCATTTGGGGTAATGATTCCAATCTCCATCTGCCAATTTGTTTTCCATTTTGAGTATTTTAAGCAGGGGAGAAAGAAATGGCCATTGTGTGCCTGATTAAAGCCAGGACAGCTGAGTGATGCAATAAGCGTGAAAGACTAAGGAACAGTGTGAATGATCTCGGTGAGATATTTCTAACTTCTAATTGCTATTGAGGAACGAGCCCCCTTGAAACTAGACTGGTAGAGAGTGAGACCAAAAATGCGGAGGTGGGTTTGTTCTTTTTCCACCTCCCAAGAAAAGCAGTGAGAAAGCCAGAGAGCCATTTTTAAAATTGGAAAGAAAATAAACTTTTTTAAGAGAGTGAAAGAACCTTAAAACCAGGAAGTTGGACTGGATCTCAAATATAATATTGGCTAATTTGGAAAGCTTTGAGGGATTATAAAATTTGGCCTTTATAATAGATATAGTTATTTCTTTCTTTTTTGTTGGAAATCCCGGACTGAATAATACAATATAAAACAAAAGGGAGAGTAGCAGAGCAACAGTGACACCTGCTGGCAGAAGTGGAAGAGTTCAAGGGAGAAAATAAAATAATACATAACCTTGAAACCTTGAAAGAAGAAGATAAGGATTGGCTGTTAAAATAAATAATGTCTATACCAGCAAGCTGTTTATACCAGATAGCTGAGACAGTGAGTGAACCAGTGAGACTTTTTAAAGCTCTCCGATTTTAAGTAGAAGCTAAGTAGACAAAGGGTAAATACTTCGCTTCCTTTTTGTTTGTTGCTCTGTGAACTCTCCCTTTGAAGATACAAGACAACTGACTAGTTTGACTCTGGGATTGGTTGGCCTATGTGGATTACCATTTAACAAGAGAATGGACACTTTGTGAAGAATGAAGGGCTAGCAATTAAAAAACTCTTGGATTACAATTTATACTTTCACCTTTCTCTAGGATTACAAATAATGGTTTCATTGCCTTTGCTTTGTGGATTATAATCACATGTCTCTGGATTACAATTAATTATAATCAAACTAAAATTACAACTAAAGCATCATAAAATGGAGAAATAACATCTGCGCCAGCCTCAGCAGCATCATCAGTGGCATCTAGCCCAGCAGGTCAAATATCGCAGGACGTGATGCTTCAACAATAAAAGATGAACACAATGCAGGCAGAGATGCAGCCCTTCTCCAAGTTATACATGAAGATCTTAAAGAAAGAATAGGTAATGTAGAGGATAAAATAGAAAACTTCCAACAAAAAATGGCTAAAAATGAACAACACATCCAGAAAGTGGAAGAGAAAGCTGAACAAACAGAGAAAAGAGTGGAGGAGGTTGATCATAGACTTACATTGGCAGATAAAAATCAGGAGAGAACAATAATATTATTAGAAATAGATAAGGCTGACTATTATTTTATTTATTTTATTTTGTCAAGTGATAAGATAATAGGTATAAGCATGGTTATGAATACATGAAATGAATACATATAAGAAAAAAAGAAACAATAGGACAGGGACGGTAGGCACATTGGTGCGCTTATGCACACCCCCTACAAACCTCTCAGGAAAGGGGTGAGGTCAATAGTAGACAATTTAAGGTTAAAGTTTTTGGGGTTTGGGGAAGAAACCACAGAGTCAGGTTGATCACTCTGTTGCTGAAGTCGTATTTCCTGCAATCAAGTTTGGTGCGGTTTACCTTGAGTATGTATCTATTGTGTGCTCTTGTATTGTTATGGTTGAAGCTGAAGTATTCATTGACAGTTAGGACATTGCAATATATAATTTTATGTACCATACTTAGATCGGACTGAAAGTGGCGTAGTTCAAGGTTGTCTATGTCTAGAATTTCAAGTCTGGTGGCACAAGGTATTCTGCAATGAGTAGAGGAGTGGAGAACTCTTCTTGTGAAATATTTCTGGACTTGCTCAAATGTATTAATATCAGATACATAATGTGGGTTCCAGACTGATGAGCTGTATTCAAGTATTGGTCTAGCAAATGTTTTGTATGCCCTAGTAATGTGATATTACCTGAGAAAAAGCTACGTAGGATTAGGTTAACAACTCCTTTTTGGCTATGTAGTTACAATGGGCTCTAGCCCTTAGATCATTAGAGATGAGTACTCCAAGGTCTTGACAGAGTTTGGATCATCAACAAGGTCTTGACTATTCAGCTTGTATTTTATTTTCTGATTTTTTTTGCCAATATGTAAGACAAAGCATTTATTTGTTGAGATTTGAAATTGCCATTTGTTTGACCATTCTGATACATAGTTGAGGTCTTTTTGAAGGGTAGCAGTATTGTCTGTGGTGTTGAATAGCTTTACATCGTCAGCGAAGAGAACGCAGTTGCTCTTAATATGATCACAGAGGTCATTTATGTAAAGTATGAAGAGAATTGGTCCTAGAACACTGCCTTGGGGGACACCACTGTTGACAGGTACAGAATTTGATAGGACGCTCCCAATTTTGACCATTTGTTGTCTGTTTGGCAGGAATGCTTCTATCCAGTTATGCAGGTGTCCAGAGATACCGTAAGATTTTAGTTTTAGGAGTAGTTTGTCGTGTACCACTGAATCAAAGGCTTTACATAAGTCTATGTAAATTGCGTCTATTACTTTGCCCTGATCGAGTTGTATAGTCCATATGTTTTTGCAGTGTAAGAGTTGCAGATTACAGGATAGGATTTTTTCTGAAGCCAAATTGTTTATTAGAGAGTAAGTTGTTTGTCTCTAAGTGGAAGATAATGGATTGGTTAATAATTGATTCTGTGACTTTACAGGTGATGCAGCATAAAGAGATTGGTCTGTAATTTTCAACTAGGCTGGGGTCTCCCTTTTTGAAGATGGGGATGACTGTGGCTTGTGACCATAGGTTTGGCAAGGAGCTGGTCCTGAAAGATTTTTCAAAGATTATGCTTAGAGGTTTGGCTATAGCAGTGGATAGCTTTTTAAAGAAGTAGGCACATATTCCGTCCAGTCCAATAGATAGAGATGGTTTTAGATTGCGTAGTGCTCTTTCAACATTGTCTTCTGTAAAATTGATAAGTATTAGATCAGATCAGATTAGATTAGATTGTAGTTGTCTGTGGTTCGACTAGGAAATACTGGGCTGTTTACAAATACTGAGCCAAAGAATGTGTTAAAGAGGTTGGCTTTAATGGTGTCATTGTTGCAGTCTTTACCATTAGGTCCTTTCAGGGGTGGGATGGACTTTGAGTCTTTTAGTTTGCTGTTTACAAAATTGTAAAAAGGGCGGGTGGAATTGAGCCATAGAAGGTTTTCTTCTTGTTTAATGTGATAATTGGTACATTCAGTCTTTATATGGTGACATACATTTTTGTATCAGCTTTTGAAGTTAGCAACGTGACCAGATTTGTTTTTCCACCAAAATGATTTCTTTTTGGATTGAAGCTTCCTTTTTGTTATGGGTAATTTGTTTTTTTCTGGTTTTGGGAGTTGTTATTGGTACATATAGTTTGGTGACTCTTTTGACTTCAAGTAAAAATATGTTGTCATGGTCTTCAACAGTATTGCATCCAGTGAATAGAAATTGCCAATCAAGGGATGAGAGATCGTTGTCTATAGTTGCCTTTTTGAAGTTATAATTGGGGATCACATTGTTATGATGATTTTTGTGTGGACGTATGTTGAGACAAAAGTCAATCATGTTGTGGTCACTGTTGGAAAAGGGTTCTTTAATTTGTATCCTGTAAATTGAATTCAAACTATTGCAGAAGATGGGATCGAGGTCCCAGATTTGTTACAGCATTGTAGAAGGTTGCATGTATTGGTTCAGTTTTACATTCATTTCGTGTCCAGTTAATATGGGGTAGATTGAAGTCACCAAGAAAGATACAAGAGTGTGGGCAGGAGGTTGCCAATGTTAGTAGTGAATTTAACTTGTTTACATGTACTATGTCATAATCAGGGGCTCTGTAACATAGTAAGAATCGAAATGTGATATTTAAGGATAGTTCACAGACGATGGTCTCAGGAAGAGCAAGCTCCTGAGTAACTTGGATGTTTTTTAGATGTAGGGACTTTTTATAGAAGAAAGCAACACCACCTCCTCTACGGATTTCATGATGTGATCGGTAAACATGATAGTCTCTTACTGTGGTAATGGAGTCAGGGAGAGATGCGTTGAGCCATGTTTCACAGAAAAATATAATGCCAAATTTAGCCATATTTAATAAGAGGAGTAATTCAGATATTTTAATTACAAGGCTTCTTGCATTGAGTAGCTTGCATGTAAGGCCAGTTGTAGTTGGAATTGAGGTAGTTAGGGGCTTGCCTAGTTTTGAGTGATAGTGAATTGGATGAGGTAGGGTTGAATGTAGAGTTGTGGGTTGTGTGACTTACTTTTGATACAATCAGCACGGTAGTTATTGTATAGATCCTTCTCTCCATTGTCTAGACATTGTTTGAATTCTGTGTGGAGTTCACGGGAGCGGATTCTTTGTAGTATGGATAAGTGTGGTCCTGAGCAAAGTTTGTTTGGGGTTGTATTGGTTTTAGCAATGGCATTTATTGTATGAATGAATATCCATTTGCTAGACTCGCTTTTGCAAACAACTCTACAAAATCTTGGGGCCACCGAGCCATCATTGTATTTGAACTCAGGGTCATCTCTGGTTATTTCAATGATACCTTCAGGAGAGATGTTTGTTGTATTGGAGTTGCTTATGATATTGTGAACTTTGGTGATATCATCAGATTTGTTGGTGTCTTTAAGACCAAATAAGAAGGCATTTGGACGTTTCTGATCACGTTCCATGATGTCTCTGATGAGTAAGGAGATGTCATTTGTGGTATTATTTGAAAGGATAGTAATTATTTGTGGCTGTGGTTTGGTGGGTTATTTTTGGTTGTAGTTGTGATTGTAGTTGAGGTAATAGTTGTGGTAGTGGTTGTTGAGTTGGGATTTGATTTTGAGCTGATAGGTATTCACTTATCTGTGCTGTATTTTTTTTTCAAGAGAGATTAGGCTTGTTTGTATAGATGTTTCAAAACGTGTTACTAAGCGTTCTATTGAGTGCATGAATGATTCTATGGTTTCAACTCTGTCAGGCAGGTTACTTAGTTTGTTTAGCTTAGGTAAACAAGATGGACATAGACAAGGAAATGTATCTGACGCTTTTAGGAGATCAGCTAGGGTTTTGGTTAAGTTTAAGCAGGTGAGGTGGGCTTGATTGTCATGTAGGTGGTATTCAATGTTGTTTTTGCTTTCATTGATGTTTCAAGACATTTGAAGAAGTGAAACGCACTGATGATGTCTTTTCAAATAGTGATGAAATGTTTGCAACCAAATTGCCAAGCCTGGAGCTCATACTCTGAGCCTAATCCTGGAAAGTGTACAGAGAAGTCAACAAGGATGATAACACATCTGGAGGTTAAATCATATGATGGGGGACTGAGGTATGTCTAGTCTATAGAAGAGAAGGATCAGCACGGAGGTGATAACTGTCTTCCAGTAGTTGAGGGGCTGTCACAAAGAAGAGGCATTTGACTTATTCTTTAGGGCACGAGACTGCAGACAAAAAGTAATGGGTAGAAACTTGTCAAAGAGAGAACCAGCCTAGAAGTAAGGAGAAATTAATCAACAGAATAGCTCACCTCCATGGTTGTGGGTTCACTATCACTGGAAGTTTTCAAAATAGACTGAATATCCATGGTATAAAACTCCTGCCTTGAGAAAACTCCAGCCGTATGATACTGATTCTAGCACAAACAGGTTAACAAAAGAGACTGGATTCATTATGAAATATCTTCTTTTGCAGGGCAACCATTTGACCCTTCATTTTCAGTACTAAATGTGGTTTCTAACGTCATATGTGCTTTGAGTTTCGGACATCAGTTTTCTGCAGAAGATGAAGAGTTCCAGAAGCTGGTTCAAGCTCTTAAAATTATTTTGAAATTCGTTGGTCACTTTTTTCATGTGGTGAGTCATGTTTTCTACTGAGGAGACAAAGCCCCCCAAACAAACTATGTTTCCACCAGTTTATTTTTAAATAAGTTTTTTTTATTTTCAATATATTTTATGAACATTGCATTTCCTGGGTCAAGTCTTTTTTAAACAGCAAGAACAGTGATAATACTTATAGGTATATGTAATTCTAATCTTCCAACTTCCACAACTTCAACAGGGCTAATCTCTTTTCATAATTCATTTCTCATTTCCCCATTAATTCATTTAGACATAATAACATTTCTTTCTGCCTTGTATTTATAGTCTCTAAATACTATTATTTAATATTTTCTAAGAATTATTCATAATTCCACCATGACTTCAATATTCCAAATGTGTAGGGTTAATAATGCTAAATATTGACAATGGTTAATTAATCCTGGGAGTGTATCTCAAAATTCCCACACAGTTCCTAGTCCTCATCATCACCAACGAATCAGCATTTGATAGAAATCATGCTAGGGGGCGGAGCTGGCATCTCGACGACACGGCATGCGATCTTGGAGGTCTGAGATTGCTGCTGATATCTTTGCACCTGGACAGTCCAAACAGATCTAAACCATCCCGAAGAGATGGTGAATGTAAAGAGCACATCCTGTCGATCCCAGGGATACTGTAAAGTCCCTGGTAGATCCAGGAGAAGCCCTTTTTGCCAGCGGCAAAGAGGCAGCCATTAAAGCTGCTGAAGTTGGGACAGCTCTGAAACGAAAGAGGATAGAAAGAGAAAGTGTGCCTCTCTGGTGAGAAGTTTTTCTTTACTTTAAGATTTAAAGATTTACTTTAAGATTTAAACCCTAAGGAAAAGAAAGAATCTGTAAAATCTCAGACAAAAGTAATTAAGCGGTGATTTCAAACGGGGAGTCAAATTAATTTTTTTTTTTTTTGCTGGACTCTATACAATTCTTTTACTTTGAACTGGACTGGTCTTTTTTTCTATCTTATTTTTCCTTTTTGTTTCTTCTCCCTTTTGTCTTTACAATATTTTAGGCTAGAGATCCCCTTTTAGCCTTGTTTTTTTTTTTGAAACCCTTTTTACTTTTTAATTAACTTTTTTTATACCAATTTGTTTGGAAAAGGAGGGGGAAAGTGAAAACAGAGGAAACTTTGTAACACTGCCAACTAGAGGCTTAGAAATATTGTTTCTCTTTTTTTCTCTTTCAACCAGACAAAGCTGAGAAAGAATTCAGACTTCTTTTCAAAGACTTTGAGCCTGTCTGATAAGATAGAGGGAAGAGCATGGGAGAGTGTTATTGCAGGTGCTCTTCTGGGTTTCTATCAGTAGCTGGAGTCTGGTGTTGAAGTATACAGAAAAAAGATGATAAGATTCTAGAGAAGAGAGCTATAAAAATTAACAAAAGCCTTGGATAACTAAATAGGTGCAGTGTGTTCTTTTTCTCTTTTTTAAGTTGGGCTATTCCTCACACCCCTTCATTATCAGCTTATTATTTGTAATAGTTATTTGGATCTCTGGACTCTTGGAACCTGCTTTTGTCTTTCTTTTTGCTTTTGGAGCCTAATTTTTACTTTTACATTCTATTTTAAAGGAAAAGCCTTAGTATTAATGTTTTCCTTCTTCTTCTTCTTCTTCTTCTTCTTCTTCTTCTTCTTCTTCTTCTTCTTCTTCTTCTTCTTCTTCTTCTA